TTCAATTCCACACCTTCTCCGAGAAATCGGAGAAAACAAAGTCATTCGTTCTGAAAGGATTTAACGAAACACCAACGAATGAAGTACTAAGATTACTTCAAGAAGCCAAGGTTTCAGCTGTCAAAGTGACAATTCTCGTCAAGAAGCCCGAGTTCACCTTTTATCTTGTGCATTTTCAAGATGAAAGTGTGAACATCAACGTGCTTAATCATAACCACCGGAACATCGACAACATCATCGTCAAGTGGGAGAACATCAAGAAGGGCAACAAAAGCCCAACGCAGTGCTTCAACTGCCAACGTTGGGGTCACTCATCTCAAAATTGTGGATATAAATTCCGATGCGTCAAGTGCACGGAAGTTCACCGACCAAATCAATGTCAACGATCCACTCGTGATGGAAATGCCAAGTGCATTAATTGCAATGGCGATCATGCTGCCAGTTATAGACTGTGCCCATCGTTCATTTCGTATTCCAAAAGAATCGAAAAGTCAAGAGCCAAACCACAACTCAAAATGCTGCCACAGATATCAAGTCTTTTGGACAGTAACAATTTTCCATCGTTAAGCAAACGACATCAAGTTTCTGCTCATTCACATCCAGTGAATGCTGCAAGTAACTCATCAGCAACATTTAAAGAAGAGATTAATCAGCAACAACTGATCAATAATATCAGTTATGCAGAGAAACTCAACGAAGCAGTAAAGAATGAAAGCCTTTTCAAGAAATTCACAGAAGCTCAAGAACGTCTAAAGAGAATCCCCAACATTGAAGAAGCAATAAATCAGTTCTGCAGTTTCGTAGACGAAGCCGGAAAGATCCCAAAGGATGCACCTCAAGGAACTGCATTTAAAATCATGGTGAAGTATGGCTTCATGAGCTGCCCACCAGCACCGAACAAGCCAGTTCAAAAATAATTTATTAACGTAGTTCATAAGCTTAAAAAAAAAGCTTTTTTTTTTTTTTTTTCTCGCTCGGCAACTTTTTTTAAACTTTTTATGCCACATTTTAATGATATATGTAAATCTCACTCATCAAAATTAATAATTAATCAAGATATAGTTGAATTAAAGCCATATTCAGGCTGGTGTCAAAATAAGACTCAAAGAAATGTAACTTAAACTACAATAATTCCAAATTTGAAATAAAGAAAGATTTATTCAACTTCAAACAGCTCTAGAATCGCGAAATCAGCACCAAATGACCTGAAATTTGGCATTTCTATCTACTTTTATGTCCTCTACAAGAAAAAATCACCCAAAAAGTGTAAATCGGAAAAGTCCATTTTTCAAAGTGAAAGTCCCTTTTTTTTTCATTTTGCCCCATAGTGTGTTGCAAGTTTTATTTGAAGCTACTTTCGACAGTGCCATAGCTTAATAGGAATTATTGTTGGTGTGCGTAGCTTACAATTATTCTGTAAATTTTTCCCAAACACAAGAATCAAATATAACATACTATCCTACACCTCAAAAATACAAGAAATGACGTCATCTTTAAAAAAAAAATTGAATAAAATATGGTTCACATTAGACAAAACATTGATTATGAACCTCAAAATCACCGAATAAAGAGATATGATGTATGAACGAAAGTTGCTACAAGTCATGACGCTTTGAAAATTTTACTTGTTTAAACCAGAAGAGGCGAACCTTTTTTTAACGACAACAAACCAAAGCTTGAGAATCACTGGTTTAAACTGTTCGATCCCAGGGAATGTCTAGTCGGTTTTGGTCGCTTTTTTCGCTTTTCTAGTCATGGCAACTCGGTTTGTATGATTTGAGACGTGTAAACTGTGGCTAGGTATTTTGCATTGATATATTCTGGGTCAATGTATTTGAGCAGAGTTGCAAATACGCAATCGTCCGTTGAGGACAAAATCTGTCTGAAACAAAGGCAAAAACCAATTGCCCATTGAGGACAAAAGTAATCAAATAATTTTGGATGTCAATGCATCGATCATCATCAATGAATTATTTCAAATCTATAATTAAATTGTAATAGCTGCTGGCGCTAGCCCTCTTAAAATTTTAAATCAATGGAATGCAGAAATAAAATATAAAGTTTTTTTTTTTAAAATAAACTGGTTTAAACTTTTACAAATCCTACCCTCAACCCCAACCCCTTTCTTCAAAAAGTCCACAAAACAATTTTTAAAGCAATTCACACTTAATTCTCAAATTTACTAGAATTTTAATTTACTTACCCTTAAAAAAATATTCAAAAATCCCAAAAACTCCCTCTTCATTTCCCCTTCAAACAAAAATCCAATCTCCATAAACTTTCACAGAAGAAAGATCATTTAATTCTATTGACTCAATTTACGATAATTTTTTAAGCAACTCAAACTGAATATTTAATTACAATGATTAATTCAAAGCTACAAATCTGCTCTGACAAATTCACTGACAGGTAAAAACTTTTGTAGGTGTGTAGAAAGTCGTTGACTGTAAATGAGATAAAAATTTATTTTTTTGACATTTTTAAGAAGAAAAAAATTAATTTTAAAAACTTTTTCATTTCCTGTCTCGATTAAAAGCAGTCTTTGGAATGGGAGGTGAAATAAAATGAGGAATGAACAAAGACAGAGGCGAGGATTAGGAATATTTTAATTTGACTTAATTATGACTAGCTTTTATCATAATCATCATCATTATAGTAAGTCGCAGTACTAGGAGACAAATGCAAATTAAAATGATAAATTCTCTCCATGCGCTGAGCTTTATCTAATGCTTTATCATTCAAAACAAAGAATAAATAAGCATTACGAGACTGGGGGTGGATAAAAATGACGATGATTTAAAAAAGGATTTTTTAAGGGAGCATTCATAAGGAACGTTTAACATTTGAAAGCTATTGGGTTTCTATAGTTTGATCAATGTATTTTGTAGTCTAGATTAGGTCAGAGTTAAGACGAGCAATGGGTGCGTCCCTGATCAACATAATCAAAATTTTTAAAATGTGATTAAATCATTAGCCTTAATCAGTATGATGGAACAGAAATCAAAGTGGAAATGGGGTATCGAGCCATATGAAGGTAACTCTGCCAGAGCAAGAGTAAGGCCTCTGAGGCGCGAGAGGTTAGACACAACCAACTTTAACCATCTATTGTGATAACGTGGGTTCGATTCTCATCAAAAACCGATCTTTCAATCATTATATAAAGTGTTGTCCATTTGATAAGGATTAGCAAAATACTCGCAGTATTATAGTCACTTTCAAAGATTTGTCTGGATTCAATTTGAGTGTCTAGGTCAGCTGATGTAATTCTGAATCTTTATGTTATTATAAAATTGAAATATCACTTCCAATTTATCTAATCTAACTTGATTAACACTTAAAAACTAGAATCAAACTTTTATAAAATTTCCAAAACTTCACAAGACTATAATCCCCCCGATTTCATCTCTTTGTGCGACACTTACTTCCTCTCTTTATTTCCATCTTGGCGATAAAACAACATTGAGCACATAAATCTAAATTAAAATAATTTATAGTAAGTTTTCATTTGCACACGCTTTTTATTATAAATTTTTTCCTTCTTCTTTAACTTTTCTTTGTGTGAATTTTTGTTGATGGTGCTTTAAGCTGTTTTTACTGTTGTGCACAAACAAAGGTACGAACAGAAAGTAAATTGTTTTATTTTATTTTATTTGTTCTGAAAATTATTTGTTTGTTTTTTAAGGTAAGGCTGTTGAGGGGGACTGGGAGGTGATTTTGAATGTATTTTAATTTAATTTGTTGATTTATTTGTAATTTTTGTTATAAGACACCTAGAAATGATTGGAATTAGACACCTTAGTGGAAAATTTGAACAATTTGCTTTTGGAAATTTACGTTAATTTTTAATGAACTTCTAAGTCTTTCATTCTTTGCTAGTTGCAAACTTAATAAACAATCACTTAATAAAACTTTTAAAACTCATTTAATTAACGTTCAATAATCCTCTCAGCTATAAAAATCTAGTACAAATCAAATAAAATATTTTATTTACAGCAGAAGCAACAGACATAAAATAATGTCATGACTATAGAACATAAAACCAAAACATGAACATAATCCATGAATACAGAAACCTTTTTGATTTCCTCAACGGACTGTTGCATAAAAAGCAGTTTCAATAAACTTAATCAATGATTCTCATGACATCGTTTTAGCCTTGTTTGTGTATATTGGTTACTGCTTACAATTGCTTTAGGTGTCGTCAAATATAGTTGTAGCATCAGTAAATGTATCTGATGGAATGAAGAGGAAGTGGATGTCCTTGAGGCAATTTTGTCAGATTTTTTGGGTCAATAGATGAAACTAGGCTCAACTTAAGGACATAATAAGTCTCAATTTAAACAAATCCACACAAAATCTCTACAAAGGAACCAAACTTACTCTAAGAAGTTATCCTCATATCTTGTCACATGTTACATGCTCATACAATATGAATGTCACAATGCTATAAAGTATTCAATATAATGATTCTATTTTCCCTCTTATCGGTCTGACAAAAAGTGCTGAAGCTTTCATTTATGACTGTTTTGTTCCATTTTTTGCATTTCTTCTTTTACTTCGTCTTTATGCTTGTTTGGCTTGTGTTGAGACGTACAATAATGAAAATTAACCTGTTCTTGTTTGTTTGAGAAGCGGTGAGGATGAAGTTTGGAGTTTGATGTTTAATTAAAGCAATTTGAGGGACAATTTACTGATTATTAAATTGAATTTTTAAACATTTAAATAAGAACTGACTTTGGACTAGGCAGAGTTCGAAGTCGATTGCATTTTGTATTGAGTCCAGTCGACTCGAAGTCAACTCCGCCATGCAAAATCGATGAAAATCTCGAGTCTACTTCGAGCTCTGGGACTAGGTTGAAAAGAGTTAAATCTGACTAAGACTAGTCGAGGTCAAAGTTAAAAGCAGCCTTAAACAAAACGCTTCAATAACAACACCTCCACATCTTTAAAACAAAGCTAAAAAGGGATGCTGTGAAAATAAGAAAGAAAACAATAAAAAACCCATCAAGAGGAAGTTCCTTCCTTTTTTTTCCTTTTTCTCATCTCTTTAATTGTTCAAATATTAAAATTAATCTATTCAGATTAATTATTCAACTGATTCTTAACAGCTCCTTCAAAGACTTCCAGTGCGAATTTAGCATCCTCTTTTGTAATACACATTGGTGGTTTTATGCGAAAGACCTGTTTTGTTTGTGGTTGAATAAATGATTTTCATTAATCCACAACGACGACGAGAATGGAAAGAATGGAAATTAAATTTAATTAGGTCGAATTTGTTGTGTATAAATAAAATCTTACATTGCCATTTATGCCACCTTTACCGAATAGCACGCCCATATCCTTACATCTCTCCCAGATATCTATGAAGTTATTTACCTCCATTGGCTTACGTGTGTCTGAATTTGCAACCATTTCGACGCCTATCATTAGACCCTGTGAGCAGTAATACGCAATAATAAAGGAAAGGATTAAGAAGAAGAAAATTGAAATTTATTTACACAGAAGCTGTTGGGAAGAAGATGAGATTCTCGTTAATTTTTGGATGTGATTTATTTACTCTAATTATGCGACTACATTTAAGGCTTTATTGGGGTCGTGGAGAAAAAGGGAAAAGTGATTTTGAAAGATAACTAGCAATTAGCTGCAGATCGTAACTTCTTGCTATATCCCAAACTTTATTTATCTTGGAAATTTTCTTTAGCATCTTTTGTGTGGATGAATGGAGTTGATGCTGAGGCAATTTGATTTATGAGAATTTAGGATTTGTATGGGCTATAGATGTAGTGAATTGGTCTTTTGTGTTGTTAATGGAATCGACTGTATTATTAGGCTTTGTGGAATTTTTAATGGTTCTTTGAGTTTTGAAGGATCTAAAGATTTTTTGACAGTTACTTAAACATACTCAATAGTTTTTCTAACGAATACTTTTCAAGCTGTTAGCATCTGAACTTCTGGTGCAGCATCTTCAGTTTGTAGATGGTATTTGGTATGCGTTTGATGTTTGTATTTTGTAGTATTGTATCAAAGAGTTGAATCTTCGGTATTAATCTATATTAAGGCGAATCTGCCAGTGAAAGAGCATGTTCTCCATAAAAGATTTGTTAAGCAAGAGACTGCAGATCCACCATCAATCTTGTGAAGTCGTGAGTTCGATTCCATACATCATTACACAAATTGTTGTCGATATGACAAGGATTAGCGATCAGATTAGTCTTAAAGTTCTAAGCATATCATCCAGTAACTACTTGATCTTGGTTCAACTTTTATGTGAACAATTTGCATCAACATCAATAAATCTGAATGTTGAAGTCCCCATAAAATCATGACTAATCGATTTATCGAGTCAATAACAAATTACTTACAAACTTTGATGATCTTAAAGATTAATTGAGATCCATAGGCACCCTCAAGTGCTGCCTAAAACTAGCTCTATCGCTAGCAACCGCTTGGCAATTTCCTTTAACAAATGCAATACTGTCTCTATCAGCAGCCTCTTTCCATGAGTTTTTTGGTCTTCCACGTGCTCCTTTTCAATAACAAATTACTGAATGAAAATCCATCCGATAAATGCAATCCAGATGCGTTCTAGTCACTTATCTCAAATCCACTCAACACATTCTTATTTCTATTTACAATTCAGCCACACATAGAACATTCTCAGTCACTTTATCTCCTCGTTGCGTCTCTTTTGCTCTAAAATTGATTTAAATCCACCCACTCAGATTATTTTCTGCATAATTAATTCCGAAATCAGTTTTGTGGTGTTCATTTTCAGTTTTACGGTTTCGCTTCATTTGAGTGGCAGTGAGAATTGCGACAGTGGGAACTAGCCATGAATCAATTTAGCATAATTCTGTTAATTTCATTCGCAAATATTTTTCAATTCTTCATTGGTTTCAGCGAATGTCGCCGCATGATATGGCAACAAAGGATGAACATTGGTGATGCATTAAATTGGGACGGAGATGAGCTTCCATGTTCAACTGACTCATTACTCTTTCCACAAAAAAGTTATGACATCATTAAGTTGTCTAATTTCACAATGAAGGAGTTGATCCTGCCCAAAAGTGGTGGTTTTGTTTTGGATTCAAAAATGTCACTCAATTTTCGTGAACGGGACACAAAATGTAAGAAAAATGAGATGAGGTCATTTAAAAGTGTCATTCAAACGCCATGGCTGATGTCCAGTAACTGGCAGACAACAAATGAGAATGGAAATGGAAAAGTCATGACTGCAGCTATGCCACACGATGAACGAATTCCATGCGACAATGATGAAATCATTTTTCCCATCAATAATTCATATGTCGTTGATCTTCAATCAATTCCATTAATGACATTCAAGAGCATTGCCATTGATGGACGTTTAATGACATTAAATGAATTTAAAGACTTTCTATTCACGACATACGGTCAGTCATTATTTAAAAACATCGACAATATACAATTCATTGAGAATGAAGATTGCAGTTCCATCAAATGTGAGCTATGTCATCGCAAAGGTGATTCACTGCGTCAACAACTTTGTGAGAATGAAAAGCCATTCTGTCAACCAATTCCACATTGTAGTGATCCAATCAAGCCAATTGGACATTGTTGTAATGAATGTGGTGCACTTTTTCAAATGAAATTACCCAACAGTGAAAGGATATCGACTGGGATCAATAGTTTTAATCTTGATGATGTGAGGGGTGACATATACAGAGGTAAGCAAATAGACAGGAATTGATGAATGAGCAGATTGATGTGATTGATTGAAAGAAACGGCGAAAGTCCAAATAAGTCTACAATTTTAATTGCCTTTGGCTCAGTTGATGCAACTTCTAATTGCTTTGAATGTCTAGATTGCATCCTGTTAATATTGAGTAACATCATAGACTGCTCATCTGATTTTAATTCCCGTTTTATCATTAAATGCTGTTGATATTTGAATCCTTTTTCAATTGATACAGCTAGAGTTGGTAACTGGTTTATTTTGCTAATCATTTTCTCATGCTTACAAGAGTCCATGTTATCTTTAACTTACTACATCATCAACAATATAAGCTAATCACTACGAATAGATAAATTTTGTTGTCAGAGACCACGAATTGATGCTTATCAAGCACCTTAACTTCTTAATTAGTGCCAGAATATTTGATATTCAACTAGTCAATAAATCTGAACAAGCCATCTCTGGATCAACCATTTTAATAAAGAACTAAATTCTTCCAACTATTTTATCCTCATAATCTGCCATTTTCTGCCTCTTCTGGATCTCATTAAACTTTTTCCATTCCTATTTTTCTGTTTACTCAATTCTCATTCATCCATGACATGGCAATTCATTTCAATCGTTCATTTCTATTTGCATAAAGTGAATGATTGAGTAAAAAGGACAGAAAAAGTCAATAAAGCATCTACAACTATCAGATCTGAGTTCAATAATTTATTGATTTCTTCTTATTTCTCTTTTTTGCATCCAATTCCATTCACTTTCCCGAAAAATGTTAAATGAATTCCCGTAGCTATCAATTCAGCACTATCAACAGGTATTGTTGATGAGAACAAGATCGCTTATCATATCAGTGTCACAACAGAAGAGCATCAACTGTATTTACAGCTCATTATAGTCGATCGATATGAATATGATGAACACAGCACACGATTAATGAAACATTTGAGGAAAGTGTTGCTTGATAAGAGGTATAAAGGTGAGTAAAGAGTTTATTTGGATTTTATAGTTTGCAGGTTGGTTACTGAAATGTGGGACTGTATCCAGCTCATCTGATAAGATACCAAATTGGATGTAAATCAGAACTAGCTAAGTATTGAAAAGAAACTTCAATTAATTCTCAATTTTACAGCCTTAAATGAAGGCACAGTGACAATCCACATTCCATTCCATCACTTACACAAGCAAGGACAACAGCAAATACTTAACGCATTCCATCTCCAATTTTTATAGACCAATCAAAATTTTATTTCATCTCTGGCTTGCCATTTACGCCCAACGAGAGTGGTCACGTTCTATCATTCATATTTGGGACATTTTTCCTTGTGACTTTGTTTATGACACTGATTTATATCATCTATTATGATGACAGACACATTCCACGCTTGATGGCAATGATAAGAAATCGTCGCTTTATGCTTCATTCTGATGTAATTTTTGCCCGCTTTGATAACACATCACACGCGAACGAGATGATGGCCTCGGCAATGTCAAATCATGACGATGATGACGATGCTCATGGAAGTATGGAAGTAGATTTACATTTTGGTACGGATCAAAGTATCGAAAATGTCAATCAAGCCTTCAATAATCCCATGTTTGATGCTACTTCCAATATTCGTGATAAATCAAGAGACGAAAGTATCTCAAAGGATGTTGATGATGGCAGTGGAGATGGGAATAATGACAGAAGTGGTATTAGAGAGGCAAAACTTTGAGTTATCAAGAGAGAACAGAAGGAGATGAGGTGATAGAATCAGTTTGAATTATCGTGTAAAAGTTTTGTAGCTCAAAAATGTAGAAATGATAAATTTTTAGGATTATTCTTGAATAAAATCACATTTGGGGTCATTGATTAGTGACGTCAATTGAGGGAATTCAAAAATAATTGACTCAAGGGTAAAACAACATGATGTAAAAAAGTTTGGTTGAGAAATTTCATCAATTTTGAAAGAAAATTGATTAAGAACTGTCAAATCGCATTAAAAACTGTTGGAAGTTTCCCTCTAATTTGTTGTCCCCGTAGAATGACCCCAACCACAAAAATCAACAGAAATATCTTCATAAACTGACCAAAAAAGGTCATAATGACAATAAATGTGAGAAAATCACGTTCATAGATAAAGCCATTAAGTAAAAGTTAATTAAATTCCCTTACCTTTCCCCTTACATCGCCAATGATATCATATTTATCACGTAAAGTCTCAAATCCCTTGAGCAAATACGAACCGACATCGAGAGCATTTTGTTGTAAATTCTCCTCGTCAATCACCTGATTAAAATTTCAAGACAGAATATAATCATCAATAATAAATGTTCATTATGCATAATCATGTCATAGGAAATGGAATATGTTAAAGGAATGATTAATGAGTGATGTTTATAATACTTACATCTAATACAGCATTGCCAACCGCACAAGCGAGAGGATTTCCTCCGAATGTATTAAAATGAATAGCCTGTGTCAAAACTTGTGCAATTTTCGGTGTTGTGACGACGGCACCGAGAGGAAATCCATTGCCTATGCCTTTAGCCATTGTCACAATGTCGGGTATAATTTCATGTCCTTCAAAGCCCCAATAATGATCTCCGGTACGTCCAAAACCCGTCTGCACTTCATCACTCACAAATAAGCCACCATTTTGACGTACAAGTTCCGCTGCTCGTTTAAGATAATTTCTCGGGAATTGTACAGTACCGCCAACGCCCTGAATAGACTCGGCAAACATTGCAGCCAATTTACCTCTCGGCAATGAATATTTAAATTCAGACTCGAGCTGATTAATATAATTATCTTCCGCAAGACATTTCCCATGCGTGCAATCGCAATTACGTTTTGTTTGAACTGGTGAATCACGGCAATTTTTTCCGCCCCAAATGCCTGTATATGGATCTGGATTCATTGCATGATGAATGCTGTTTTTGATGCCTGGCGCTGGATAATACCATGGAGCTTGTGCTGTGAAATTGGGAATTTTGAGAATTTATATCTTGTTGAAAATTCAAGGGGAGAACAGCTTGATGAGTAATTTTTACAAATATCTGTAATTTCATAAAGATCTAGTGTGATATACGACATATTAAACTCATATCTAGTTCTTTGTGAATTTCCCATCATGTTGTTATCCCCCTGAGAAAATTTAACATTTGGAATTATAAAAGTATAGATTGAGTGCTTATAACTCAAAATTTGACCTAGTCTTTAAAAATATTGACTTCTAAGCTGTATCTTTACAACAGCAAGTCTCACTTAAACTTCATCTTACTCTACAAAAATGCAATAAAGAAGCATTGACAAAAATAATCTTGCGAAGCATTTTCCTTTTCAAATTACATCTACAAAAAGTAAAACATAGAATAGACAACCACCTGTTAATCCCATAGTACTTGTTCCACCGCCGTGGTAAGCATTCTTCAATGTTATTATGTCGTAATTTTTTGTATAGAGACGTGCAAGTAAAATTGCCAAGTCATTTGCTTCCGAGCCGGAATTCACAAGATACACAACTTTGAGGTCACCGGGTAATTTAGATGCCAATTTTTCAGAATATTCGTAGATTTTTGGATGCATATAGATTGCTGTTGTGTGCCATAAAGTCTTTATTTGTTCTTCCAAAGCCGCATTTACTTTGCTGAATTGTTAAAGATAGAAAAAATAAGATATGAAGCTTTAGGGGGAAACAACTTGGTGTGGAAGTTTTCAAACTATTAGAATAAGGTTCCCGTTGGTAAAATTTCAGTAAAAATCATGAAAAAAATTTCCATTAATTTTTTTTTCACAAAGTCGTTTCCCCCCTGAAGAAGAAACTTAAGGATTTTTTTTATGGACATAGATGTAATAAAAAGATACACATAAGAGCTTCCATTGTGTACACAAAAATACTTACGGATGGCAATGTCCAACGGAGACAGTCACGATTCCACCAAACAAGTCAAGATACTTGACTCCTTTATGATCATATAAAAATTGCATTTCACCTTTGTGTATTAAGAGAGGCTTCCGATAAAATGGAATTGCCGATGGGGTCACAAACTCTTTGCGCATTTTAAGAGTCTCCTCATAACTTGGTCCATTGTATGTTGTCGATGCGACACCCGAGAGAGAACGAAACTTTTGTAGTAATGCTGAATTGGCTCTTTCATTTACTTTTATTATAGCATCAGCTGAACAAACAGGATCAATTAAAACTATGTAAATGTTGATTGTACAATTAAGGAAAATGTGTGTGCTAAGTTGTTGAAGACTCGTTCAGGCTTCTCGAATAAATTTTACAGTTTTCGATTATGTCTACTGTTCAATTAGAGCATTTAGGAACGATAAATACCACAGACATTTAAAGCTATGTTCTGGTTTTTCATGGCTTTGTTTGCTTATTTTGTTTTAAAGGGGATGGGAAGTTAAGGATTTTAGAACTTTTGTTCTTGAAGATTTACGACTTGAATTTAAGAATGTAGAAAGTTCCAGAAGATTTGAAGGATTCTGTGGAATCTAAACAACTGAATTGCAAGTTTGAGACTTCAAGGATCAAGAAAGTAACTTTGCATTGTAATTATAGACTTCCAGTTAGCAAAAATCAATATTAGACTGTACTTTTGGAAGATTTCTCTATGTTTTGAAGTTTTCCTTTGAACTCCGAACAAAGACTTACTAATCAACATCTCAAAACTATAAATTCGATAGAATTTCTTAGAATCCCCATAATTATAACAACCACAATACACAAAATCAATGTAAAGCCATAGAAATTAATACGTCAACTAATTATTCTCCATCCCTAGGCCATCTTCAATTTAGAAAATGCTTTCTGTCTTGGAAATGAGCTAATTAATTTGATAAGAATAGCAATAGCTTTCTTTTAACACAAAATTGTATATTTGAGGCTATGAATTCACGTTCATTGTTTATTTTGCCGAGTACTTCTTCGAGCTTCTTAATTAATATGCCTAATAAATTATCGCTTTGAAGTGTATTGAATGTAAACATTTGCATTTTCAGGTCTATTTGTATAATAATTAATTGTTAAAGTAATTTGTGGAATAGGCGATGAAGTAGACAATCTAAAAGTTTAAATTGGATTATTGTCTGCATTGTTATTGGATAATTTGAGTCATTAAAAGTTGATAATTGTTCGGAAATTCAATGGAAGTTTAGATATGGGCTGACGTGGGCTGATTTGGTGATGAAAGAGAAGAAAGGCGAGGTAAGGTGGAAATTGCGTATCGGATATAGATTGGACTTTTAACAATATTTCATGTATTCATTGGAATGTTAAAAAATGTCAAGAGCAATTCCTTTCAATAGAGGTCTAGAATGTAAGTTTGTTAACAAAGCTAAAAGTTGACTCTACTAGAATCGACTAGAGTCGGAGTTGACTCTACTACAATCGACTAGAGTCGGAGTTGACTCTACTACAATCAACTAGAGTCGGAGTTGACTCTACTAGAATCGACTAGAGTCGGAGTTGACTCTACTACAATCGACTAGAGTCGGAGTTGACTCTACTACAATCGACTAGAGTCGGAGTTGACTCTACTACAATCAACTAGAGTCGGAGTTGACTCTACTACAATCGACTAGAGTCGGAGTTGACTCTACTACAATCGACTAGAGTCGGAGTTGACTCTACTAGAATCGACTAGAGTCGGAGTTGACTCTACTAGAATCGACTAGAGTCGGAGTTGACTCTACTAGAATCGACTAGAGTCGGAGTTGTCTCTACTAGAATCGACTAGAGTCGGAGTTGACTCTACTAGAATCGACTAGAGTCGGAGTTGACTCTACTAGAATCGACTAGAGTCGGAGTTGACTCTACTAGAATCGACTAGAGTCGGAGTTGACTCTACTAGAATCGGCTAGAGTCGGAGTTGACTCTACTAGAATCGACTAGAGTCGGAGTTGACTCTACTAGAATCGACTTGAGTCGGAGTTGAATCTACTAGAATCGACTAGAGTCGGAGTGGTCTCTACTAGAATCGACTAGAGTCGGAGTTGACTCTACTAGAATCGACTAGAGTCGGAGTTGACTCTACTAGAATCGACTTGAGTCGGAGTTGACTCTACTAGAATCGACTAGAGTCGGAGTTGACTACTAGAATCGACAGGAGTCGGAGTTGAATCTACTAGAATCGACTAGAGTCGGAGTTGACTCTACTAGAATCGACTAGAGTCGGAGTTGAATCTACTAGAGTCGGAGTTGAATCTACTAGAATCGACTAGAGTCGGAGTTGACTCTACTAGAATCGACTAGAGTCGGAGTTGACTCTACTAGAATCGACTAGAGTCGGAGTTGACTACTAGAATCGACTAGAGTCGGAGTTGACTCTACTAGAATCGACTAGAGTCGGAGTTGAATCTACTAGAATCGACTAGAGTCGGAGTTGACTCTACTAGAATCGACTAGAGTCGGAGTTGACTACTAGAATCGACTAGAGTCGGAGTTGAATCTACTAGAATCGACTAGAGTCGGAGTTGACTCTACTAGAATCGACTAGAGTCGGAGTTGACTCTACTAGAATCGACTAGAGTCGGAGTTGAATCTACTAGAATCGACTAGAGTCGGAGTTGACTCTACTAGAATCGACTAGAGTCGGAGTTGACTCTACTAGAATCGGAGTTGACTACTAGAATCGACTAGAGTCGGAGTTGAATCTACTAGAATCGACTAGAGTCGGAGTCGTCTCTACTAGAATCGACTAGAGTCGGAGTTGACTCTACTAGAATCGACTAGAGTCGGAGTTGACTCTACTAGAATCGACTAGAGTCGGAGTTGAATCTACTAGAATCGACTAGAGTCGGAGTTGACTCTACTAGAATCGACTAGAGTCGGAGTTGACTCTACTAGAATCGGAGTTAACTCTACTAGAATCGACTAGAGTCGGAGTTGACTCTACTAGAATCGACTAGAGTAGGAGTTGACTCTACTGGAATCGACTAGAGTCGGAGTTGACTCTACTAGAATCGACTAGAGTCGGAGTTGACTCTACTAGAATCGACTAGAGTAGGAGTTGACTCTACTGGAATCGACTAGAGTCGGAGTTGACTCTACTAGAATCGACTAGAGTCGGAGTTGACTATACTTAGCCGACTTATGATTCTAGTTAACTAGCTTAACCATGATGCCACATATTCTTAATTCGTGTACTGACAGAATCTTCTCCTTTTTGCTCAACATTCTAGATTTCACTCAACTAAGACACTTTCCAACTGCCTCATAGAATCCTCAGCCTTAAAGCTATGTCAATGCTCCAAAAGATTCAAACCTCAATTCCCAAAGCAACAGACAATTTTTATGACATTTTTACAAAATCCTTCCGCATCCATTTAAAGCCTCATTTCATGTTCTCCAACTTAGCACATTTTCACTTTTATAGCACATAAAAAGAGTTCACTGCATTACATTTCCTATACATTACCTCTAATTCCTCTACAAAACCGCAACATGTTTGCCGATTGTTAATTGCTTTCAAGTCTCGAGTCTTGGATGAACAAACTTTTTATGTCAACACCAATGGAGAAGCAAATTTACTTTGAATTAGTCTCCTGACCTCAAGACTATTTTTTTTAAGGTTGAACTGTCTGGATTTTATATTAAGTTCTCTTTTTTTTTTTGAAACTCAAACTAATGTCACTGCGTAAATAAAACGAAAGAAAAGAGTTGAAGAATTTAAATTTATAATTCTAATAAAGACGAAGAAAATGTGAGAGCAATAAAAAGTCGAAAATGTTTTTTTACAGCACTGTGTGACCGTGAAAACAGCTGAGCTGATAATGAAATAAATCTTTTTATTTCTGGGTTATCAAATTTATAGCAAATTCGCGGGAGCATGTTTAAGGGGTTTGAAGCTTGCTTTAAAATTATTTGGATCGGAAGTTGGTTGATTGTTGATTTATGTCGATATAAGAGTATCATTCCACAAACTAGATATTCTGGTTCTTAATCTACTAAAAACTCGGTCATTCATGAATTTATTTAAACATTGCATTACACTCTTTAAAAAAATTGGCAACCCAAATTTTGGGCATGCACACCCCTGCAGCCCATTAAATAAAATAAATTTGATTAACTTTCAATTCAAATGACTTTGAACTTAAAGTGTCTCCTCTTATCGTACAAATTGTGAGTTCAAGTTTATAGCTGATTATCAATCAAATACGTAATATTCAAATTGATGTCAAGCTTAAACGTATGACATAAGTTTATTAACCCTAGAAGCACATGATTTTTAAAGAGTTGACTGTTTAGCAGCTGTAATTTTTTTTAAAGGCGAATAAATTTCAATTATTGAGACTTATCCAAGCTAAGAAGTTAAGGACTCCTTTCTCGTATCTCTTCTCCCTAGACGTCTTGTGAGCCAAGGGTTCGAAACTCATCAACTGATTGTTTCTGACCTTAGTATAAGCTAGACCAGTGGTTCTCAAACTATGTGCCGAAGCACACTAGTGTTTTATGACTTCAAAAACTTCATTTAAAAATCATTTAGTGTATCACGAGACTATTCAGGTGTGCCGCAAAAATTTTTATGTAGAAAAATGTGCTGTGGACCAAAAAGTTTGAGAAACACTGAGCTAGACCCTTGGCTAGGAAGAATAGATCTGAAGCTACTTATTGCTTAACGAAAGATTTGACACCTTCCCCCTGACAGTTCCAAATCTAACCTGAATCTTACTCCTAATGAACACAATTATTTCTCGGGCCAAATAACAAGCCTCCTCAAATTACTCCGAATATAAAGTACACAAAGATGATTGTTTATTGATGAAGGAGAACACTTAATAATTATCACAACAATGCCATGCCTCCATCTGTTTGCATAGCAATTAAGAAACGTTGATGAATGAAAGTCACAAATGGAAGTGACCGAACATATACCTTAATTAATAGCCAATTTATTTCCTCTATCAACAATACATTTAATCGAGTACCGACATACACACAAACACTTACTGAGGGGGAACACTGAGGTCAAGAACTAATTTAAAATGCAAATTGATATGAATAGGGGTGTAGCTGTTAATTAATTGCTGTTTGCACACGTGTTGGTTATTCCACTTTGTAATTTGTGAACTCATGAAATTTGATATCAGCCCGGTGAGATGAGGATGCCTACTGATACTACCGTAAACTTCAATAAGAAATCTTTATAATCATGTTGAGAGCTTAATTTGAAAAACGAGCATCAACATATTTTTGTTCTATTTTTAGACACCAGTGACGCCAATTAATATTTTTTGTACACATCTTCTCGTGTGATTGACAATCTTTTTGTAACATCGAGCGAAGAAGATGAAAGTTATCAACATGGCCCGAGATTTAAAGGTTTTTCGGGGCATTGATTTGGCACCTTAGTGTAATTGAACTCAAGTGGCAGATATTCTAATCTTAAATGCTGACTTAAATATGCGGGGGGGGGGGGGGGGTTAAAAAGTTTTTTTCGAGTTACGTAATAAGTGAACAGCCCCAAAGTTGTTTGACTCAATGAAGTATTAATGCAATGTACCTAGCCACAATTTGTGCTTCTCGAATTGTTCAAAACTCAGTTGACATGACTAAAACAGGCAAACAGCATAGAAAGTGTTTGAAAATGCTTCACAACCTCAATACTCACTCTTTTACTCCTTTATAATCTTAACTTACAACTCAATAGTAGTAATAGCTTAAACAAGTCAAATAAAACTTTCATGCATTCAATTTTTCCTCAGTTGTAGTCAAATCAACTAGAATTCTATAAAACCCATAAAACCTCATAATTTTCAAAACTCAAACATCAAACTTATCCAATATTATAGACTTCAGTTCAATAATCTTGTATTATGAATTTTTATCATGCAGTCCAGTCCATTTTCTACATCATCCACACATAATTAGAATGAGGAAATTTTTTATCTCAATTGCAATATTTTTTCTTCCTCATTTTCAGATTTCCCAAAATGAAATAAAATCCCAATAGCTCTTATCATCATGAATACAGCAAACCAATCCTCTTTACCAAACCATTCATATCAACTAAGTTCTCTCTTTTTTTTACTTTTATTACGTGAACCTTTTTTTTCGTCTCGACAATTTCAATCAATTTCCATTCAAATACCAATCAAAAATATATCATTCACATGAGAATTGAACTGAACAAGTATAAAGTATGAATTTATATCAATTCTCAACTATATGAAATGTTTGTTATGAAAGTGATGGCATCAGGCTCATTCTACTCTCTCTTTTATGTGGCTCACCAAATGATTCCTTTCGATTGATGTTGGCATGGGTTGTTGGAAAAAAAGGTTGTAGGTAAGGAAGGCAGTATGTCTTTTAAATAAGTTTGAATTATTGAGAGTTATTTGAGAAATTTTATAGATTTGTAATTTATGAAGATAATGCAGTTAACTGAGTACATAATAATGTGAGAGGGTTCCAGCCAAGCGGTGTGTTATTACACGTTGCGACGAGCTGAAGGCACTGCGGTCCTGATGGATGATAGAATCTATTGTACCGTTACTGAAGACATTCAACTTTAATTAATCATTCGATCTTTTCTAAAGTTGAGATTGTTTTCTCAGAATCTCAGCTAGTTTTAGGTTATGCAATTGTATAGTGTTAAACAAAAAAGAGTTCGATCTGTTTTGAACACTACAAATAAAATAAAGCACAGATCTAGATTTGGGATCGTTTCCTATTTCATCCTTTCCCTGATTATGGATTCATAGCTTTCATAGCGAATTGCTATGGTTATTAGACTAAGGAATTCTAAAAACTTCCTTCAGTGACCAGTTTCAATAAGATTAACTAGAGTAATATTTCAAAGTTCATAAGCTTTCAAATTTAGTCAAATCTATCAAGCAAAGTAATTCAATATGCATCACAAGAGAGTCTTAAAAATTTATTTTATGAATAATATTGTCCTATTTTAAGATGTTCATGCATAAATATGCAAACATTTGAATTAAAGATCTTAGTTTTGAGATGAACATGCTCTTATCTAGTAATAATGGTTTAATATTCATATTCTTCCTTATAATTGCCTCAAAAATAAGGTCAAGTGTGTTTTTGTGGTCAAAGTTAAATTTAGACAACTTCATTCAATAAGTTAATGTTTGAATGGCCTGTACCTTTATTTGAATTCAGAGTTAACTCATTTGATTTCCATTTGACTGATTACTTAAAACATGTCATAATAATGCACAAATCTACAGTATCAACTGATGTTATTTTCAACTTGTCTGCATTATTATATTTAAAACTTCCAACACAACAGCCCCTCATTCATTTTATTTTGTTCATCTTCATAACTCTGACTGTTATGACTCCTTCCTTTCATCAATATAACATAAATATCTACAGACCGAACCGAGAGTAATATAGTAAGTATTTTATATATGTGTGCTTGGATGCTGTAGCACAAAAAAAAGGGAGAATATTTATTTTATGGCGAAAAAATATGTACGATAATCGTCATCGTCATTGAGCGTCTTGAGTCGTACGAGACGAAGTCAAATTATGTATTCGTTATTATTAAAGTTGACTTCTATTGCTTTTATATTGTTATCGTTATCATATAGATATTTCCATTTTATTTCTTTTTCATTATTCTACAATAATGTATTATTATATTGAATGAATGACTGACTGAGCGGAGGACGGCATGAGGGAGAAGAATAAGAAGAAAGTCGATTGAATACAAAAGAGAAGTTTTTTTTGATCGCATAAAAATTTTTATTTATTCTTTTGTTATTATTGAAAAGTTTTCCTTTTTTTATAAAAGAAACAAAAAAAAAATCATTTTTTTATGTTTATAGTCGGCAGGGGTTGGTTGACTCTTCCTTATTCCATATCTTTTCTTATTTTTTATCAAATTTCCTCGCAATTAAAATGAAAATTTATTCAAAATGGGGACAAAGATTATCTTAAGTATATTATAGAGAGAAAAAGTCTCATCCGGCAGTTCATCATTTCGTGTTGCGTTTATTGATTTCAGAATCATTTCTATGATAATGATGTAAGTTATCCAAGTTTTATGGATTTTATTGCGATTTGTTTGTAAATAGTTTTTGGTATTGGCGAGGTATCATCTGTTCTTATTTAAGGATTCTCTTTGGAATAAGAAAGATTGACTGACTAGGTTGAATTTTCTTTAATTGGGTTTAACAGATATTCAAGTCTTTGTCTGATTTGACTAAATTTAAGGTAGATTTTGGACAGTCCTCGACTGACTTATTTGACTAGATTTTAGACAGTCCTAGAATAAATCATTTGACTAAATATAAGGTAGACTTTGGACAGTCCTCGATTCACTTATTTGACTAAATTTAAGGTAGATTTTGGACAGTCGTAGATTTAATCATTTGACTAGATTTAAGGTAAAATTCGAACAGTTCTAGACTTTCTCATTTAAGTAATATAAATCTATGAAATTTAATTCTTTCAGCAACTCAGTCTAGCTTCCAACCCTCCAAAAACATCGTCTTTCGTCTCTGTTGCTTTATACATCCTCCATCCATACACATAAGAAAATAATGTCTTCCATTCATTGCGATAGAATGAAGACAATAATTTTTATTCTTGTCAAGTACGATGAACATTTGCATAAATCTACAATGAGTTGTTTGTTTGCATTTGAAATTTAATAACCTTTTTTTTCGTTATTTTTGTTTTTCTTCCTGAATAAATCGTTGTTTTCGTTTCC